ATTTTTTTATGTAATTTCTTTAATTTATTTTTTTATTATAATTTAATTTAAGTTTAATAACAAAATAATTTATTTTTGGTTTAATAATTTTATAAAAATAATAATTAAGTATTCTGTTAAAACACAATGATTATCCTAATTATATTTTAGATTTTTATATTTAAAATGAGATGTTTATCATTTATTTGGTTATGTTTATCTGTAGTTAGTTACACGAATTCAGATGTGAAGCTTTAATAAGTTCTACTTACGCACAATCTACTTACAATCTCGAGTTTTAAGTAATATGCATTAATAAACAGTACTTTACACATAAAAAGTGATTTTTAAGAGTTTTTGTTAAATGTTTTATAATATAGTATACATATAGATAATATAATTTTCTTATAAATATAATAATTAGTTATTTTGTTAGAACTCGATAATTATTCTAATWATATTTTAGATTTTTTATATTTTAAAATGAGATGTTTATCCTCTATTTGGTTATATTTATCCACAATTATTACACGAATTCAAACATGGAACTTTAATAAGTTGTATTTATCATAATTTAATTGTAATCTTGAATTTTAAGTAATATGCATCAATATACAATACTTCATACATAAAAAATAATTTTTAAAAGTTTTTGTCAAATGCTTTATAATATAATATAGATATACAATTATATTGATATATGTTTAAAACATAACTCTGTTAAGATTCTTATACTAGACCAGAAACCTTGGAATCATCTGAAATAGAACACACATCAAGATTATCAGTTTTTTGTACCATGTGTTGTGTTGATTCAATAAAGTTGAGGGGTAGTTTTACAAATCAATCAAACTATGGGGTTCTTTTTTAAATTAAGTCACATGGGAAGGTATGAATGCGATCCACCCTATGAAAGAGAAATCCACTCCCCCACCGACATGGTGCCCATGTTTTATTACCTTACATGTTGGACTTTATTGATATAAAAAGTGAATATAAGGGACTGGATTGTAATAAAATTATAGTACAAGGTGTCTAATTGTACATTAAAAATAAAAAAATTACAAACCACCGCGTGCCAACAGTACTGTATGTATCCACTATGAAACTCTCAGATCTACCCCCAACTCTCCCCATTTATTCTGTTTATAGGCATCCAATTTCCACTCACCATCTACAAATCCAACATTTTCTGTTGGAAATTCGGAGCTTAGATCTGTTATCTGGACGCCAGTAAGTTCGAATCCTCTGTTAATTGATTTGTTAAGTTGTTAGATCTGATTTGGAATTGCAGTTTTTCTCTTTGTCTTCATTAATTTCATGCTGTTTGTTTTATTTCTTATGATATGGTTTGATGCTAGAGGTCAGATCCGTTCGGTTTGATTTGGTGATGAAATCACACTGTGATGTGATGTGATGCTCTTTTCTGAATTGGATTTTGTGGATAATGTGATTTTGAATCTTGTATTGTAATTAAACCTAACGTGAACATTGTATTTGCTATAATTATTTTTACAATTCTTGATTTTGAATAGTGTCGGCAATGTATTTGCTACTTCACTCTCGGATTGTAGTTCAATCAGTGCGAATTAGCTGACAGCAACTGCCCTGGAACGAAGTACTTAGTGTTGCTTAAGTTCTGCAAGGAGTGCATTAGTTATGTTGTGAACATCTCTTAGACAGTGTGCTTCACTGTATGTTTAACATCATCTAACGTGGAGAAAGTATAAATACGTAACGAGTTTCTTGAGGAATTGTCCTCTGTTTAATGTATCTTTTTAGGTTTTACCTCTAAGCAATATTACCTTTTCTTGTGTTTGTGATCATCAGAAACTTTGGAACTGCAAATGATTTAATGTAATATAGTTTCTTCGTGATCAGATCTGAGAGTTATGATTGCATTAATCACATTTAGGATCAATATGTTTGACAACTCCAGTTAATTTTGAGTGGATCTCAGTTTTGATGGTTGGGACTAAGGAAACATGAAAGTTTGGTCGAAGAAATACAGAAATGGTCATGATCATCCTTGAATAAGCCAGTTGTCAACCTCTTTTAAACTGTTTTATGGGTTTTTGTTTTTTTAGAGGATTTCAGTAAGGAATTGGGAAAATATTTTGTCTTGATTTACTCTATCCTTCACCAGAAAGGTAAAAAGGTTTCATGGTAATCTAAATGGAAAGATTTCATTGTACTAGTCACGACTTCACATCCTCCATGTCATCTTTACATGTATGTGCTCTCTTTCCCCCAATATATCATTGATTGCCCGTTAGCTTTACCTCACAAGTAGCCAACCGGATCTTGATGTGCCTTCTTTTTCTTTTGGTTGGAAGCAGTATCTATCAAACTTGATCTGTGCTTCTTTTCTGTTTTTATAAACATTCTTCTCATGTTTGTATTATTTTTATACTAGAGTTATGCTAGCGTTGGAGACTCTTGACATTGAAAAAAAAATGTGGCACAGTGAAGCTAAAATTCAGTGATGTAGCTGCATATAGCTTAGCCAGCAGTCTATCATAATATGATTTTTATAAATTTATGTCTCAGTTCCAGATATGCTTGAATAGGTTTCATGTCCTAATATGCCTTGAGTTTTTCTGCAAATGATACTGATAGGTCTTTCCTTTTGCATAACAGGTTGGTTGGACTACAAATCTGCATCTGGAATAGACTATCATCTTTGATTCTAAGAGAGTTGGGGAACCCACAAATTTGAGCATAGTTTGGATAATAAATATCAGATTATTCAACTGGGATCCATCATCTACTAACATAACTATGAGATCATTCTTGTGATCCATCGAGATTGCATTGGAAGTGAAAACCGATTGACGTTGTGGAGTATCAGAGATAACGTTAATTATGAGAGGAAGAACAGATGGATCACAGAAGAAACGTTTGCTCACTTCTGTCATTCTTGTGGCAGTTTTTCTTCTTTTCCTGTATTTGTATTTTGGCTCTCAGAGTCAAGGTGAATCAGCTCTAGAGTATGGCAGCCGGTCTCTGCGCAAGCTTGGATCCTCCTACTTAGGTGGGGATGAAGAATCTGATATTGGCATCAAGCAAGATGATTTTAAGTTTGGGTTGGATGATGAAGATGGTATTGTGCCAAAGAGCTTTCCAGTAAGTTATTCACATGAAGTAGGAGTTTGGTTTACTCTTCTCACCATCTTCCAATAAAGAAAACTTGTTGCTGCCAAAGAATATTAGTTTTTAGCTCTCAGTATTTTCTAATTTTAATTCATTATCTTTGTTTCCTGAAGGTTTGTGATGATAGATACTCTGAGTTGATACCCTGCCTAGACAGGAACCTTATCTACCAGATGAGATTGAAGTTGGATTTGTCTTTAATGGAGCACTATGAAAGGCATTGCCCTCTGCCTGAAAGGAAGTTCAACTGCTTGATTCCTCCTCCAACAGGATACAAGGTGTGGATATAATTGGCCAACATTGGAATTCTGTTGATGATATTTATTTTTTTAATTTTCAGTGTTTAGTTGAATTTATCTTATTATATTCCCTCATGGATTCATCTGTTGATGCAGGTCCCCATCAAGTGGCCAAAGAGCAGAGATGAAGTATGGAAAGCAAACATACCACATACTCACCTTGCACATGAGAAGTCAGACCAGAATTGGATGGTTGTAAAAGGTGAAAAGATCATATTCCCAGGTGGAGGAACTCATTTCCACTATGGAGCTGATAAATACATCAAATCACTCGCAAACGTAAATATCCTTAACACGTTTTAATTACAACCAATAACCGTGGTCATCTCTGATCTCTGCATCTGATAAACAATTTAATTGACAGATGCTCAACTTCCCAAAAGATAATATGAACAATGAGGGGAATTTGCGAACTGTTCTTGATGTTGGTTGCGGTGTTGCAAGTTTTGGGGGTTATCTTCTTTCATCAGACATCATTACAATGTCTTTAGCACCTAATGACGTGCATCAAAATCAGATCCAGTTTGCTCTGGAGAGAGGCATTCCTGCATATCTTGGGGTTCTTGGCACAAAGAGGCTTCCTTATCCCAGCAGATCTTTTGAACTTGCTCACTGTTCTCGTTGTAGAATTGATTGGCTTCAGAGGGACGGCATCCTTCTCCTTGAGTTAGACAGGGTGCTAAGACCAGGTGGCTATTTTGCCTACTCGTCTCCCGAGGCATATGCCCAGGACGAAGAGGATCTTCGGATATGGAAAGAAATGAGCGCACTTGTTGAACGCATGTGTTGGAAAATAGCTGCAAAGAGGAACCAAACCGTCATTTGGGTCAAACCTCTGACCAACGATTGTTACATGGAGAGAGCTCCTGGCACTCAACCTCCTCTCTGCCGATCAAATGATGATCCAGATGCAGTGTATGGAGTCAACATGGAAGCTTGCATCACACCTTACTCTGACCGTAAGTTTACTATATCATTTGATTTACATTTAATATATTTTGAGTTTAGTGTGAAAAGGGGTTTGCTACTACAATCTCTTCTTAGAGTGGAATAAATTCAAATTTTAAAATTAAGATGTATTTTATTTCTGCTTATATAACCATGCTATTCAATTTGAGTTACTTATATAATCTAGAGATCATATTTTTCTCAAATGGGTAAGTAGCTTCATCATGTCAATTGAGTTCAGAAAGTGATTCTTTTGACGCTTTAAAGTCAAACAGGGACTTGTGGTTTAGTAACAAATGGAGCATCTGTAAACTCCTATGCATTTCTCGTTCTTTTGAGATCCTGCTCTACAGTTGTTCAAAGTACTTTGAGTAGGTATTTTGCTATAAGTTTCAACTTGTGCAAACACTGAAGTTCTTCATTTTCTTCATCAGATGATCATACAAGCAAAGGAAGTGGATTGGCACCATGGCCTGCTAGGCTAACTTCTCCACCTCCTCGTCTTTCTGATTTTGGCTACTCAACTGATATGTTTGAGAAGGACACGGTAAACATACAGCTTTCTCCCTTCTGTATCTCAATTTAAGTGTTATCAGTTCACAAATTTTGTGTACTTATACAGGATTTATGGCGTCGGAGGGTTGAGAACTACTGGGATCTATTGAGTCCAAAGATATCTGCAAATACCATAAGGAATGTGATGGACATGAAGGCAAATCTGGGTTCATTTGGAGCTGCTTTGAAGAGCAAAGATCTTTGGGTGATGAATGTTGTCCCTGAAGATGGACCTAACACATTGAAGCTTATTTATGATAGAGGCTTAATCGGCTCAATTCATAACTGGTATGTATTTTCCCTATTAACTTTTTATCAAGTATATACGACAAAACTCACACACCCTCCTCACATTTGGTTGGTGGCTTGAAACCATGGCCTCCCGGGAGGTTGGGATCTACCGGTAACCTGGGTAGGTTCGGATTCCAATGGGCCAATGACCCTTTGGTTTAATTAATTCATTATTTTTCTTCTATGTCGGTTCCAAGGTGTGTATTTTACCAGAACTGGGATCGAGCCAGACTGTACTGAAACCCAAAATTAAAAACTACTAGAATTGAAAACTGGGAAGCGGACCTAAAACCGTCTTGGTACCAAGGTGCTTCCAGTTTTCCAACAGCCTATGAACCAGAAATTATATGCGAAAATTGTTTTCCATACAAAAGTTTGTGTTTTCTTAATTTTCTTTAATTAATTCTCAAAATACGCTATTAATATTTAATAACATAAGACTTTATATGCTTACTTGTGCATGATCGTAGAAACATGCATACACATTTTTCTTTTAAATTTCTTTTGTAAAAGATCCAAAAGATGAACTCGGTCGTGTTCTGGGTTTTATTGGATTAACTCGTTTTTGTATCAGACGGAGTTGAGGGCCAAATTTTGTAACATTTAGGAGAGTTTTGATGATGGTTTTGTTCTTCACGCATGTTTTTTAATCTTTTGGGTGATTATGCATATTCAGGTGTGAAGCCTACTCAACGTACCCTCGGACATACGATCTCCTCCATGCCAGCAACGTGTTCTCAGACGTGATCGAGAAGAAGGGTTGCAGTGGCGAAGATCTGTTGATCGAGATGGATCGCATTCTGAGGCCGACCGGTTTCCTAATCGTTAGGGACAAGAAACCCGTAATCGACTTTGTGAAGAAGTATTTAACGGCAATACACTGGGAAACGGTGGCGACAGCAGATTCGGCCTCGGAAACAGATGGAGATGATGTTGTGCTTATAGTCCAAAAGAAACTATGGCTGACAAGTGAAAGCCTAAGGGAAACAGACTAAGTTTTGAACCTAAAAACGGCGCTCTTAAAAAGAGGGAAAAATGGTTCTGTTTTGTAGCATCAGATTGTGACTTTAGTTTCTCCTTATCATTTAGTTGATTTATTTGTTATCATATACATTTGCATCTACAACTCTTAATCTTCATATTTATTTGTGTATTATTTAAGTTGGATTTAATTTAAATAATCCAAATATGCATACTTTATATACATATAATATGTGGCTCTTGCTCTTCATATCATTATCATTGTTATTATACTTGATTCATACACACACACACACACCCCCACACCCACACACCAAGTTTATCATTGTTACTGGATTTGATGCATAACCAAGTTTTTCATAAATTATCGGATTTTGGTAATACGAAATCACAAAGAGAGATATACATAACTTTTTGAGGTATAGTAGTCGCAAATTGGTGGAATTCACGTCCAGGATCAAACTGGGAGCTAGTCTCCTTATTACTATTCATAAAAGATTTAGATTGAAGATAGGCTGCTGGGTAGATCGACGACTGTGTCAAACGTCAGGCAACCAAACACGAGGGAGGCGTTTTGTCACGTCCAGCTTTCCGATGCGACTCTCTCTAGTTGAAGCATGCATGCTTAATTTGGCCAGTCTCAAAGGAAGGTAAATATAATGGGTTATGTTGTCGTATTTAGCAGGTAACTCAGTGAACCAATTGAAGAACAAGCCGTTGTTCATTGACACTTGCATCCACATCTTTGAGTTGGCTTTGCGAGTTCGAGAAGACGTTGGCCATACGCTTGGAGAGACTACTCGGGTTGGTTCAAGTTTAAGATTACTAAACTCCTGCTCAAGAGTTGCTGCCCATGCACCCTTGTTGAGAAAAATGATTCTTCACCCGGATCCACGCCTCATATGTCGTGGATTCATTTTCCAACAACACATGCTCTCTTTTATATATATATATATATGTATATATATATGTATATATATATATGTATGTATGTATATATATATATGTATATGTATGTATGTATGTATGTATGTATGTATGTATGTATGTATGTATGTATGTATGTTATTCACAGTGGAGTACTTAATACAACAGAAATTCATAGAAGAATACTAATTTTGATCATATTGAACTATATGTCACCAAGTTGAATCAACACCAAACATTGACAATCAAACCAAGCAATGGAAGTAAATGATAATAGAGAATGTAAGAGTGATTTCGTGGTTCAACGTAAATGCCTACATCCAAATCACAAGAGAGGGTTTGTATTATTGTAACACCTGCAATTTTACAAGGCTCCATGTATGGCTCTTTCACAACGGTTTCATGTGCAACTGATGGTTTTATAGGGTCCTTATGGTGGAAATTGCCTAGGGTTGTGTGAGGATCAAATTGTATTAAAAAAATCAAGTTTCTAGGTAAACCGGGATCCCATGCCACCTGGGTCGCAGTCGGGTCTTGCAACCTCTTGGTATACTGGGTAGAGCTCCACGTGACTTAGCCCGTGACTTGAGGTCGTGGCTAAGGTCGCATATATGTGTGAGGCTCAAGAAGGGCATTGGACGTATTTTAAGCCGTTTTTATAGGGTCTTCTTCTCATTTCTCTTCTAATTTAGGTGATTTTAGAAGCCTAGGGTTTGATTTTTTGGAGGTTTATCTTGGATATTGAGGATGTACTGGTAAGTGATTTCAAGATCTTTAAGGAGTAAGCTTTTTGGGTGTTTTAAGATCTAGTTTGGGTTCTCTTGTGAATCCAATCTTGTGGTTGTTTTTGGTGCCTTCCTAGGCTTGGTTTCTTCTTTTGAGAAGTTTTCCTCGGAGATTCTTGCTTGTGGATCTCAAACCTCTACATTTTTGGAAGCTAGAGTTTGGGTTTGAAAACTAAACTTAACCTAACATAGCAAAGTGAGAGTCAAGTTACTTTGTGAAAACTTTGTACATGTTAAAAATGTTCGTTTATCCAATTGTTTATTATTTGATGAAATTTGTATCTTTGGTAGAATTGATTTTATAAAATCTTATGAAATGTTTACATTTAATGTTTTTGGAACTTTTGATAAATAGATCATAAAAAAGATATTTTTGATGAGTTATTGCATATAATGGTGGTCATTTGACATAATTGTGTGAGTATTATAAATGTTTTGGAGAAAATAGATACTGTGGAGTTGGTGCATTTTGGGTCTCATAAATAATCAAGGTTTTAAATGGCGTAAGGCGTGACGTGTCGGGCGAAGTCAAACCTCAATCCTTAGGAGTCACGGCGAGGCCGTATCGTTTTTTCATTGCGTGACTTATGGCGACAATATTTTATTTCATATAAATTATTACACGTATGAACTTATATTTTCTACTATTCTTCAATGAGTCAATGATAAAAAAAAAGATAATTTAAATTAGATTATACATTAAAAACTAACAAATAAGACATTAAAAAAAGTAAGAAAAATCATATATTGCGTTACAAAAACAGCGTATTAGGTCATGGCGTGCCATGAGCTTAACGTGGTGTGAGACACAAACCTCAAGCCATAGCGTGCTACGGAGGCTGTTGCGGCGAGATTTTTTGAACACTGAATGCTTTTCTTTGGAGTTGTTGAATATTTTTGAGAAATAAATCATAAGAGTTCACTCTTTGTGAGATTGTTGCGTCAATTGAGTTTTATTGGCTATTATTATACTTTGAATCTTGAGATTTATTATACATGCATTCTGGGATTTATGATGACTCATATTTGTTTAGTCAAACAAGTTGAAAAGTTTGTTGATTTGGAGGCAAAGCAAACGTCTGTTTTGGGATTTTGCCCAACTTTTAAGTAATTAATGGTGGCACTTGAATCTTTTGGTGCATAAAGTGCATAAAACATTAGGCAGAGGTATTTGTTGACTTATGTTGACTTTTATTGAGTAATCAAGTAAGTTGTAAAGTTTATTGACTTGATATTGATTTAAAGGAGTTTTTGGGATTTTAACCAACTTAAATTACTCAATGACAATATATATATATAGGCATGTTTTGCATATATTGTATAATCAGTGGGATTTCATGTTTCGCGTATGTTGGTCGTTCAATTGGTAATGGATTGGATCCATAGGCATATGCGTCAATTTTGTTTGTTAATTGAGGAGTTTTGACGTTTCTATTTCATTACTAGATGAGTAGATATGGAATCATCGAGGGCATTGTTGTGGGTACTCTTTTAGAGTCATACATCAACCATTAGCTCTCGGACGTATCTCAAATACCCTAGAAGAGTAGGTGTAGCGTCTTACAATCTAGAAAGAACGACCGAATTAAAATTTTCGTTAAAACATTAAAGTCAATACAACTTCTCCTGAAACTTCATGATACTTGTATACAAGGATAAAATAAAGTAAAAGTCAACTTAAATTCTAAATCAGAACGAAACAAGAATAAGATTGGTGTTACTATAACTTTCACCAAAGTCCGAAAGCCGCTATCTCCAATGATATGAACGTCCCAAAGATTTAAATGTTTCTACCCCCGCCCCGCCCCGCCCCGGCGAGTACCTGATGCACATGCCGATAAAAAAAGTGTTAGGCTTAAAGTCTAGCAAGTTCAAACAATTTTCATCATAATTATAAAACGGTAAAACTGTACCAATTCTAAACTGAAACATCTTTACCATAAAGACAACATCTTTCTAAAATCCATCGTTTTTGTTATGAGAACTCAATAACTCAAACACCCATTTTTATATGAAAGAAAAACACATGCTCATGCAAAACATGAACAAAGCTTGATATTCAAATACCATAAGACATGAATAAAACTCAAGTATCGAAAACAATAAAATATGAATGATAAGCGGCATCCGGAATATCAAATCACGGGTACATTCTGTACCCCAAAACAACACCAAAAACATGGATAAAATATCATATCCAGAACACATCTTTCAGTGACAGGGAGACCTGATTCCATTGAATGTCAAGGAACATAAGGGGGTGTTTGGTTCATGGAATTTAGTGGAATTGGAAAGAATTGGAATGTCCAAATCTTTGACCAAATTCCAAATCCCATGTTTGGTTCACATAATAGATGTGAAGGAATCCTTCCAATTCCAACCAATTCCCTAATTCATTGATTTCACAATTCCACCACATATACCACGGATTTCAAATTCCAATCCAATAAATTCCTTAGCCCTCATCCATTCATCGACGCTGTATCTCGATTTGCTCTGTTATGCTATGCTCGATCTCCTTTGTTTGATCTCGTTAAAACTAAGAATGACAACGGGCGGTAGGTTATTGGTATCCCCGTCCTAGAAACCGATAACTAAAACCGTCCCCATGACCGCCCTGATCCCCGTCGGGGATCTTATCAGGTCTCGCGGCTTCCCCGATCCCCGTTGGGGAACTCGTTAAGGTAAAAATCCTCTTTTTCCTGTTCACCGTTGGTTGTAACCGAACCCGAAATCGAAACTCGAAACAAATCTAAAAATCCCCGAATTTAATATTATATATATATATATATATATGTATATGTATATGTATATAAATTACAATTAATATACATAAACATATCAGGCCGGGCCGGGCCGATGATCACCGTCCCCGCCCCGTCCCCGATAAGATGTCCCCGAACCCAGCCTGAAAGTTTCGGTTTCAGTTTTTTTTCCTGTAATTTTCTCGTTGAATTCCGTGAACGAAACAAAAAAAATTCCAATTCGGTTAAGAATTTCATTCCAATTCCATCCAACCAAACGCAATCAAAAGACATGGTCAAATTCCATCGAATTCCATTCTATTCCCTCAAAGTCAAATTCATTTGATGAATTCCAATTCTATTGAATTCCATTCTACGAACCAAACGCCCCCTAAAAGTAAGCCACATATCTATGTTATATGAGTTTTATTACGGATCAATGGTCATTAAGTTTAACGGCCCACAATCTATAGCTTAAATGAGTTATCAACTTCAACCACCCACAATCTATAGCTTTATGAGCTATCAAGTTCAAACACCTATGATTTATAGCTTGAGATCTTCAAAGATCCTTGTTAATGCCCGAATCAAAGAATGTTCATCTCATTCAAACCGACTTCTATGCCTATGAATCAAATGCATTATAATCTAGATTACATGACTCCAAATTGAATGAGCAACACACTGAAAACATGTAATTTCCAAATGAATATACGATAAATGGAAATCACATCCAAAGCTCAAATTTGAACAATTTAAACTAGACAA